GAAATTTTCCTGATTTCCCCTCAAATGTTTCTTGTCGTTTCCCAACATGCACAGTGAGTAATATGTGTAAGACCGTTTGACTGTACTCAGCAATAGATTAACTTGTCGGGTCACAGTTTGGAGAGTACAGTCTAATTTGTGAAAGATTCATCGAAAATGCACTAGGAGGTAAAGGAGGACGACACAGTTAAGACGTGCATGTATTAGAAGACTGCCGTCTAATAGAATGAGAGTAGGTTCTACACATAAGTCGGTCCATTGCGCATTATGTCATCGTCGGCATTTTAGGGGAATGATGTTTCAATTACGACTAAACGATCTTTGCCTTGCATTGCCGAAGAGACTTCAAATGCGTCCGCTTACATTTATTAATCCAGAAAAAAATCATTCAGAGACAAGTGGTAGTGAGTAACTTGCCCATGTTCCCCACCCTTAGTTGTCAGTCGCCTTGCAATCACAGATAACAGAGAATTCGGAGCAAGCTAAAATGACTGTCAATCCGAATTGCTTAGCTTTCGCTTTAAGTCAAAAAACCAGACCTCCTGCTCTTTCTCCGTGCACACATACCAAATAGCGGACAGTCCGTCGACCCAAAATCAGACTTTTGAGTACTTGCTCGTGTATTAACACAGCTCGAATGCTGCGCCATCTGGGGGCCGCATGCATACAGAGGGACAAACTTGACTTCTGTAAGCCGTTAAAACACTTGGTAGGTAGAGCCTTTGGATGGCAAACCCCTTCTCTTTTTATCCACATACAGTGTCTTTCTAACCTTCATTTTGCTTCTATATCATCGTTTTGGTGTCATTCCACCATTTGTCCGCGGGATCTCGACTATACGTTCTAGTATCAGTTGTCTAAACACACTTAAACTGTTTTATAAATTCGATGTATTTTGATAATGGGTACCAACAAAGAAAAGGGTATGATGTGGTTTGATATCCCCACCTGATGGACAGGGGTTGGGTTAAGGATTGTGGTAAGAGTTATAGATTGGCGCAATTATTTCTCAACCACTCAAAATACCGCGCATTCTTAATAGCTTTTCCTCTGCACGCGACAACTTGACCCCGTCGCCTGTGCCTCCCCCAGTCACGTATTCGAGGTGACTGGGATTTGTTTACTTCAGGTGGGGCTGCATAACCACATCCGACCAAGAAAAGGGATGCTAGGATGGCCATTCCTAGCATCCACAAAACCAGGTCTGGATGACCTGGGATTCGAACCCACGTTCTTTGACTGTCAGTAGTTAAGTAATCCCACGCTCTTCTCTGAAGCCACAGACTCGTTGCCCTGTCGGTTGTGAGTAGGAGTAACCCTAATAGTAGGAAGGTACGCTCACCGACCAAATTACGGGACACGCGCTCTCTATTGTGCCTCGGAGCTTATTCTGGTGTTCTCGAAGGATACCATGTGGCGACCAGTGACATCTACAGAAACGTGGTGCGACAAACGTAGGGGAGACTCGGATAGTCATTTTGGTTTGTTATCAGCCAGCCATACCCAAGCCGAAGGCGTATGTCCGACAGCCTGGTCGGTGGATGAACTAAGCTACGATTGTGAATTTTCTCAGTCAAAACCTTAGGCCAGCGAGTTCACGACTGGACAGTAGAGCATTGGGTAACTTAACGGCAGATAGTGGGGGAATCCGAATTCGAGTTCCAGGTCATCCAGACTTGGGTTTTGAAATGGCCGTCTGACGACGAGGAATAAGTCAGAAGGACCATCTCAGTCTCCCTTGTCTTTGTCAGTAACCGTTGGCTGCATATATTGCTGGTCACAACGCGACTATCTTCGAGGGTTTCGGATTGACTTCCAAGGCACAGCAGGACAAGCACATGGAGTAACCAGATCGGTTAACGCACCTTTCAACGATACTATTTCTTATTCAGATAGTGTAAAAGCAAAAAGTAGACGACGATTGTTGGCAAAAGTTTTGTCGCCAGTGCATGCTGTTGAATGTGTCTGTTTAAATTTGTGTCGGGAAAAAGCCTTATAACTGTCAATACTTATCCGCGACGGGCGAATTCAGGTTAAGGTTATTAGCCCCATGTTTGGCATATTCACATTTGACTTTTACTAGACAAATCTGGGGAATTAGAAATGTCCGCTCAGATATGAGCAGTTGGTGTGGCGATATACACTAATATTAGCAGAAGATAGTGGATTACGAAAGTCTCGCCGTGTATTAAAGTCAAATTTCCACCTGGACCAAATGTCCGACATTTATTTTCGCATAATATCTTAGTTACGTTGTGCTGGCGTTTGACTATTTACATTTCCCTTTTAACCCAAACGACCTGCTAAGAATTTTCTAGAATTCTGTATTACATTATCGATCTTTTTGGCAAATCTGCTTATCCCCTCCCGAATGCAGTGAATAAAGCTTCGAATTTCCAACTCCTCAATATAGTCTGCTGAACAGCGCCAAGTTAAAATGTTTTTACTCTTGGGAGAATAAAAATCTTCAAAATAGTTGGTCGTATCTCTCTTCTTTTTTGTAAATACCCATTTTGCAATAAAAATTTATGAAGTCACTAACACCGTGCTTTGACAGATATTTAACATGCTTACCTTTTTATTTCATGAGACACCTCCCAACATGAAAGCAACGTCCACGCGGACGAACACGCTGGATTTAGTTGTTCGTAAATTATTTGAAAAACTGTTGACCTTTCAATTACGTCCATTTCTGTTTCTAGCATTGTTTGAAGTTCACATTGTCCGACCCCCGCTACAGTTTATATCATGTTGCTCTGGATAGCTACTAGCCCACAATCTCGATTTGGTTTGTTTTTTCACGTTCTTAAGTGTTCTGTTTGCGTCATGGCATTGAAGTTTCAATTAATTGAGTGTGAGGTCCTGCTAGTTTTCGTAGTTTTTAATAAATATGGCACAATTTTTATATAATAAGGGGCTTGTTACCACGATATAAACTCTGACTGCCCTTTACTACGAAGACGAAGAGGAGTGGATGTCGAAAGAAATTGTCGAACGTTGACCCACCCGTTGTTACCACATGGCAGTCTATAACATTACATGAGGAAGGCAGTTTTGGGCTAGTCTATTCTCGAAGTAATTCTGCCAAAATCTGCGCGACTGAGCTGCGGGCGGAAAGTCTGACGTATTATTTTACTAGTCAAGAAATCAGCCCATATTAAAATACATGGATGCTTAAAAAACGTCCAAAAGCACAATAACACAAGACTAGTGGACGACCGTCATTTCTAGGAGTTACCACGACATGAAAGCAAAATACAAGCTTGCTTGAAGGAAGACATTTAAAGTAATGAGAAAAACTACCAATCAGAGGTTTTGACGCGTTTAATTCTGTAATTATTTCCGTTGGATACAAGTAAACTTACTGCAGCATCTGAGGGTCACATAAACAAATAATGCAATATGTCGTCAATGACATATCGCGTAGGAAAACGTTTAGCAGAAACAGCATATAACATAAAAAAGCAATTAGAGAGTGCATAAAGTACATTATTAGCAGTCATTCAAGGTATAGATAGCAAGCAAACCCCCAACACCAAGCACGTTGCTTTGCAAATAATTAAAACATTGAGGAAGGTTCATAAAATGGTTCAGGAGACCTTGAAACTCCGGCTGCAGGCTTCACAATCATTGGGTTCATGTATATCGCCTGCGCTTTTTGATATGCTGGTGGGCGAGTTGCCGTTCAACGTCTCTGCCATCATTGCGAGGGACAAAGTCGCTAGATTGGCTTTTTGTGGTGTGCATTTTATGCGCCTCCTTCTTTTCAATGCTGTCTACATGCTTCTTTTTTTCAACGTGAGTGTGTTGGTGGTGTCTTTTTCTATGCTCTGATCCGTCAACAGTCTGGATTAGTGCAACGCTCAGAAGTACGAGCAAGATCAAAGTTAAAGCTCGCATAGTTGCGTGTGCAGAGTAGAAATGATGTGAATTTGCCGAGCTTAAATATCTCACCTCTGGGAGTATGAGTCAATGTTTTGGCTCAGTCACTGACGGCTGAAAATCACCGCTCTATGGCTCCTGTCGGGTTCAGTACTGAACGGCAAGTGAAGTGTCGCGATTGTTCGCTACAAGCGGGTGGACCAATCAAAATTATCGTTGCCTACCAATGCACCCGTTCTGATGCTGAGATGCGGGTTAAAAGTAGTCAGGCGAACTGCAAAAGAGTATGCATCGGCTGGACCGTTGCTTTCGATTCTACTTTAGTCCAAGCTAATCATGCCCGTACATTGTAAGTCAACATCAGCAAAAACATCTATGGACAACTGAAACCCGTTTTCTATTAAATTAACTGAAAATGACAACTCAAATCCATGGCTAAAATAATAAGCAGTGGACACCACGGTAGCGTTATTAGCTGTAACTAACAGACGTAGTCGAGGTCACGTCCGTAGGTAGAAGAGAAAAGTTTTGAGCATGAAGCAGACATAAAGTTTTCCCGTAAATTGCTCCACGTAGATCCTTGGAATAAACTGGAAACTTTCACGCAACTCTGTTCCGAATGAAAAAATAGGCGCCTGGGTTGCTCTTTCGGAATTATCTATTCGATTGGGCAGCACTCGGTTGTAGGAAGGACTTATTTAAGACGATTATATTGTAGAAAATATCGCAATGAGGGACATTCTTAAGATTACTACACCGATCATCAGCGAACATTAAGAACGCTTTAAATGCAGCCTATCTGAAATCACCGGTGTAGGTCTTTAGTTATCTTCCTAAATTGGACATAATACAAACAGTGCCATAGTTCTCTGCAGTGCCAGTCCCTACGCGAAATATTAGGTTGATATAACTAATTTTATGAATGGCTCAATAAATATTGCCAGAAGCATATTCCTAAGATATTCCCTAAATAAGCAAAAGGCAGTCAAGCGATGTGGTTCGCTGTGTCGTAACAGTATGCTGGCATAGTTAACCGCATCATATCTTTAGTCACTCGTATTTTACAATAAGTATTTGCATGGTCATAACAAAGTATTCTAATCGATGCCAACGTGCATTCACGTGCTTCGTTCCTCAGCCTCCTCCTCCTCCTCCTCATCCTCCTCCTCCTCCTCCTCCTCCTCCTCCTCCTCATCCTCCTCATCCTCCTCATCCTCCTTCTTTTCCTCCAAAAATCAGTGAAAACTTGGAAAAAATGATAATGTTGCCAGCAAGATGTAAGTTTACTAATCGGCTTTGGTTACGAGTTTTTTAAACTTTTTCAGACAATAGGATTCGTCGGACACTTGCAGGCGGTTATGCCCTTTCTGGGCAGCATCGTTCTGAAAGAGGCACTTTCACACTTGTGAAGTCGCTTTTATCTGTCTCTGACGATTTCTGCCAAATTCGCTGTCAAACATCATTGAATATTTAATTTCCTCCTACTTTCCCCTTCTTAAGATCAATGACATTCAGATGCATCAGGCAAGGTGGACAATTCCCGTACGTCATATATGGATATCTAGGTCGATGCATCTAAAAATATGTCATAAAGAAAATGCGAACAATACAACAATAATGCCTTCCTTTGGACTCCTTAGTAGATCAGAATCGAGGAGACGTTTCACGTCTGTTTAAACTACTAACTCAGGCGAAATTGCCTAATAATATCTATGTTGGATTCGTAGGCAAACATAAACCCAAAAACTCTACTTCATACCATCTAAGAAGCAAAAGGAGGATGTATGCAATTTTTTATGTAGCGACGCTTATCAAAGGGCTCATAGAAATGCCTATCTCACGAAGCTTAAAAATTCGGTGATTTGAAAGTCACAAAATATATCTGGCCTGTTTTTGCTTATAATAGGAAACCTTAGTGAATTTGAAACTTCTAGCAAGGCATCCATAAGCAAACCCTTAGACATTTTACCATAGAATTTTTCTCACCGATGGCTGTTAGTAAGAAATTGCATGCCACCTTGAATGCTCTATCGACAATGGTATCACTTTGTCTCTTAATAAGGCAGACGAAAAGATTAGTGTGTTTTTATGAATTGTGATATTTTTCAGTATTCTTCAAATACGCGGCATTTTAAAATGTTTCTCGTACTAGTGTGACAACAATCAAAGTCAGTAACTCCTTTCCAACGAGACACACGCTTGTGAATGAGTTTTTATAATGAGTTGTGTTCTTAGAAACGAAAAAGCTACCAGCCTTCACCTGAATTTCATCGTTCATTTATTACTAATTAGCGAGTAGCTGCCTGGAGAAATGCTCAGCTATAATGGGAAATAAGGAGGCATTCTCAACCCCAACGGACGAATTTTGTGCAATTTGGTAGGACTGACTAACTTGACCCCCCAGACAGGGCGTTCGAACAGAAACCGCCTGGTTTTCAGTCAACTTCTAGTGAAATGAGGTAAGGGTCAGGTTGAGGAATTGGTTTAAGGCTAGAGTTAAAGCCGACGGTAAGTCAGAATCAAGCTTAGGGCTAAGGTATGGTCTAGCGCTACTACAGAGTTAAAGTTTAAGGTGCGGTTAGGGTCAAGATTAGGGCGACTGTTAAGTTTTATATTAGGGTTTTTGTCAGAGTTAGGACACGGAAATATTTTGCCCTTTCCGACATTATGCGCATGTCCACCTTTATTAATTGGGCCGAGCGTTCTTATTCCCATGTCCTGTCTAAGGGGGCTATATAAGTCAATTGTACCTACAAATTCACCAAAGTAATTCTTTCGGCAGACTAGTCTTGGGTTTTTCAAAGTAGTTAATAAGTCATAAGATTCACTCACATTTAATAAAGCTCCCCCGTGCTTGTTTAGCCGTTTTCTAGGAAATTACAGCGGTCACTGAAGACAGCATTCTCCTGCTACCTCTTGGAACTGAAAAGACGTCCTTGGACTGTGCATTATGATAAGTGTCTTATAGATCAGAGCGGGGAACCCATTTTCCATTTCAAGTAAGCAATGTAAAGTGGTGTATTTGCATGGTGTGTAGGAAAGACTACTTATCGGCTTCTATGGTTAGTTTTCATTTGTAGATGTGTGCGTTTACAGCTTAGTTAATGTAAGGGCAAACGAATTGTTTCAAAACTTGTTAGGGCCTTTTCTGAGACTTCCCGAGGCGTAAATTATTAGGCCTTTTAGTAGTGGCTCATAACTACTTATTACCATTGACGAAGGGTCATTCTGAGCACAATGTGACCCTAAGCTACTCATTGCAAATAGAAAATATTTTAACCACTCTCGGTTTAGTTCGCTATGTTAGTAATCCTCCAAATAACACACAGATCTAACAGTATTTATACAGGTTTTGACTGAAAATAAACTTCGCAAATGCAGCATATTTGAATTATGTCCGATACAGTGGGCGATTTAAGTTAGAGGAAAGTACTAAACTAAAAGATAATAACATAGCGCAGGTGCAAAGCATACAACCACGGGGTCCGGCGTTTTTTTAAGTAATTTATGGAGGCAATGCAACGATCTCTGCCGAAAACGGCAAGTATATTTTGACCACACGTTAATTTTTTGACTACAATATATGTAGAAACAAAAGACTCAGTAAAGTTTTAGGCCTTTTCTAAATGCAGTATTTGGATCCGTTGAGTTGACATGATTACTAGCAATGCCAGCACCGAAGACGCCATTAGTTTAGAGTTTGAAATTACGCATCCTGTTTGGCTGATTTAGCCCTAGAACGGTTGCTACCTTGAGCTTTCATGCCCTCCCATGTCTTCTACACGCGATAAATCAGCGCCAAATAGGATGACTCAGTCGTCAAGCTTGGCAACCGTTGCGCAACCTCTGCGGGTTCTAAACACACTTTTAAGAAAGACAGTTTTTACCTTCCGCGAGGTTTTCATTATGTTCTCCTTTGAATCAACATGAGAGACAGCGGATAAGAAATCGCTCCGAACAAACCCCTAGGAAGTGACAAAATATTTACCTGAGACTTACTACCTAGGAGGGTGCATTTTGGTAACAGTAAAATTAACTATAGCACTTACAGCGGAAGACGTGTCGGCCACACTAGAAATGGAAAAGCGATAGAGATATGGCTAATGGCCGGTGTTACATGCTCCAGGGAGCAATTATGCTAAAAGAAAATAACTGGCGATAGTTGTTTGTACGTGCCAGAGGAGGAAATAAAAAGACATCGCGGTGGCTGTAACGTGAGGGTTGTCAAGATGCTTTAAGGTAGTCATCGGAGTAAAAGCCCAACAATGCAATACCTTTGTTGACAATAACTTCAAAGGGACATTAAATTCAGTCATTATTATTACTAAATTGTAACATTTGTTGCAACAATAAGGAGTAAATAATAAAGCGACAATTGATGCAGTTTCTTGAACAAAACCATCTTCTTTCGAATTTCCAGCATGGATTCTGCAAAGACAGGTCGTGTGCGACAAACTTGCTCTACTGTCTGGAACACTGAACTCGGGCTGTTGATAGACGGAATATGGTGAATGTGGTCAATATGGGCGTTTGATAATGTGCCTCACCATCCACTTCTATAAAACTCAGCTGTATAGGAGTAAGAGGTAAGCTTTTAATGTGGATTCAAAGCTTTTTACATGGCCACTCTCAAGCCGTCCACGTTAGTGACCAGCAGTCTGTGGAGGCAGCTGTTGAGAGTGGTGTTCCCTGAGGCTCCGTTCTTGGCCTTTCTCTGTTAATTATACACATCAATGACTGTGCAAACGAACTGTCTAAATGTTTGCTTATGATATAAAGAATTGGGAGTACCATACGAAATGAAGGTGACGAAGCGCGATTGCAAACAAACCTAGACCGCCTCGAGCAATGGTCGAACGACTGGCTTTTGCCGTTTAACGTAAATAAGCGCAATGTCCCACGAGTTGGCGGAACCAGTTCTCTTAACCGCATAGTATACCGCCTGACTGGCAAAACATTGCAAGAGGTCGACGCGCAGAGGAGTTTCGGTGTATGAATCACAACCTCACTCAAGCCTTCGCTGCACTGCTCAAAGGTAGCCAGGCCGGCGAAGTTCATCCTATACCTCTTCAAAAAGCGTTCTCCTCCTTTGATGAACACTATTTCGTCAAGGTTTTTCGAACTTCTGTGCGGCCGCATGTGGAGTTTGCTTTTCAAACAGGGAGACCCTGGACCGCTAAAGACCTCAGCATCCTCGAAAATATTCAACGGCGAGCAACCAAACTTGTAACTGAAGAGGGGTCATTACTCTACGAAACGCCATTAGCTAATCTTGATCTATTTCCTTCGAAGTACAGACAGTTACGAGGTGACCTAATACAAGCTTTACGCATCCTGCGCAATCAGCACTGCCACCTCATATCAGGAGACTTCTTCGAGTTGGTGATTACGACTAACTTGAGAGGTCACTCATTCAAACTACTTGTGACTGGCGCACAGTTAGACGCAGCAAATGTCTTCTACAACAGAGTGATTGCAGCTTGTAATGCTATGTCAGAGGACGTTCTGTCGGGATCCGTAGAAACTTTTAAAAGGAAGCTGGATCAACATTGGAGTGCGCACCACAATGCCACCTGACCGCTGCCGTCTTGATAACCGATGCTAACAATTTAATGCGATCATGATACTACTATCAATATTTACGTAACATTTGTTTATATTATGTATTAAAACTTGGGCCACAGCGAAACTTCTACTGGCATTCACCATGATGCTTACAAACTCAAATCTTATTACTTTCTCTGTAGCTTAGGTGTGCTTCAAATACGTACTGTATTTATCACCAAACCGACTTCATATGTCTTCAAATACTGTTTATGTATGTAATGCTGTGTTCAGCTGTACAGTTCTTGATATTCCCTTTGTATTTCTTTCATAATGTTAAGAAGACGAGTCGAGCATCGGAACACTTCGTTTATTATCCTGAGCTTTCAGACTCGTACAGGAGTCCATCGTCGGAGGTAGTGACAGAAACAGGACAAGCAGCAGTTATAAGGCACCTAGGCCCAATCATCGACCGACGTCACACGACTGGAGGTGACTACGAAGGGCTCTGTACGCCGGCGCCAGATCGATAAATCGATTGACCGAGTTCTCATCCGAGGCCCAGGCTTCAATCAATTCTCGGCCTGTTTTGTTTCCGGCGTGGGCAACTATTTTGGTGGCTGCGAAGTTAAACTCGTGACCCATTTCTTAGGTGTGCGCGGCCACTTCTGATAATGCGTCGCCTCGCCGCACAGCCAGTTTATGTTCGTGTATGCGCGATCCGAGCATGCGTCCAGTCTGCCGTGTGTAGTTACAAGGACAATTTTGACACGGAATGCGATACACTACTCCAGATTGCTCCTCAGGTTTTAACCGGTCTTTGATTTTCATGACCCTGCTGCGCATGGTGGTTTTGGGGCGGTGTGCAATTCCATCACCTAGCTACGCAGCAATGCGCTCGGTCGCTTCTGAAACACCCTTGATGTATGGCAGAGAATGCCATATTGTCGGTGGCGTTGATGTTCGAGTTATCTGGTGGCGACAGCGTAGGCAGCGACTTATGAATGCCCTCGGGTAGCCATTTTGCACAAACTGGTCGCGGAGATAACGGGCCTCACGTGCTCTGTCCACCGGTTTGCTGCAATGAGTTTGGATCCGTTTGAAGAGCGTCTTCACATTGCTTCGTTTGTGAGCCACCGGATGATTGCTGTGGAAACTGAGAAGCTGTGTGGTGTTCGTTGCCTTCCTATAAACCGTAGTTTCAAGTTCACCGTCAAGGTTTCGTCTGACGAGCACATCCAGAAACGGCAACTGCTGTTCCTATTCTTCTTCCCTCGTGAATTTTATATCCGGGAAGACTGCGTTGAGCAGGCTGTGGAAATGTTGCAGCATGTCCTTCTTTACGATGACGAACGTGTCGTCAACGTAACGGCGCCAAAACACCGGTTTATGTTGGAGGAAGGCAATCTTTTCGAGCTCCTGAAGGACCAGTTCTGTCACCAAACCGGAGACCGGTGAGTCCAATGGGGTTCCCTTGATTTGTTCATAGGTCTCTCCTGCAAAAGTGAAGAAAGTTTGTTGGCAGAATTCAAACAGCCTCATGAGGTGTTAAATTTTGAGGGCATTCTGAGTCTCATCGTACGCCTCTTCAAGTCTCTTGCGCAAGACTGCGGGCCACGTTTGGTGGGATGGATGTGAATAGCGACGTCACATCGAAGGAGACCATGATTTCGTCCGACTGAATTCTCCGAACTCGGAGGTCTATGAGGAAATGAGAGGCTCTTTTTCTTCACTTCTTTTTCACTTATGCATACACCTGGAACTCGAAATTTCGCCTTTATTCTTTCATATTGCTCCATTTCCACTTTTTCATATACTTCCGTTGCGTGCACCAGATAGAAATTCAAAAGGTTCACAAAAACTTTCCTTCAAATAAACTGAACTGACAGTGTCTCCTTTTAGTTGGTGACATTATGGAGGACCGAAATTTGTGATCCCACAAAGTCCTTAGATGTTCAGTTCTTTTGCTCAACACAAATGCTCCTTGGAGGAAGTAACACCGGTCCACAAATGGTGGACCAGATTTTCGCTGAGACAAGAAGTGTTCGTCTCGGATCCCAACTGAGGTGGACTGCCATAGAGGCCATATTAAGAAGGAACCACTCCAGCCTAACTTTCCGGTATGACGGAACCGAGCTATCTCCTCGGTTGTCAGCCTTCCAAACCAGGACTTTTGGCGTATCGTGATAGTTTAAAAGCGCAGCAGACTACTTATTAGTGAGGACATGTGCTGCGTGATTTGGGGGCGTAGTTCGCAGAGTCGACCTCACCTTCCCTTCCCAACCTAGACAGAAGTCCACTGTCCCACCCAGTTAGTCATCTGATGCGGTCATTGAGAGCATTGGCAGACGCGACGTTATCTTGCGCCTAGACGTGCCACTAAACTCGCATGTGCGGCTCTCGTTTTGTAGGGGGGAAGCTGCGCAGCCCGATTTCTGCGTTTCGTGCCCTATTCCGTCCACGTAGTGATTCATCGCATCTGTCTGTCGACCCAGTGAAGGGGCAAACACGCACAGGCACACATTTCAAAACACTGACCACCGCACATGGAGAGCGCAACACGGCGACATGCGCATGAATCAGTTTATTACGTTGACAGACTTGTGCAGCACCTGCCACAGCATCCGATCCTTCCTCAACAACACTGGCCAGGTATTATGGCAAATCCAGAAAGACCGGAGGCAGAAAGGGACGCAGAGATTGACAAAACCAAGCAGCTTGTATACGCGTACCATAAACATCTGCTTCATGTTCGATGGACAAGGTTTTCACAGAAGATAGAATGGGCGGTTCAAATCACGACTAGAGCGAAATCCCCATTTTGGCACGAAATCGAATAACCTCATCCGCACATTCTTGCTTTTTGGGGATTTTGCAATTATGACGTTCGCCCTTTAACCCCTACGCTCGGTTTGATTGTAGGGAACTGCAGTCGAATTTCAATTCGAAAATACGTATGGAATGAACTGAAATGATCTGTCTTTCCGGATGGAGGTATGTAGATCATTAATGGTAAAAATAAGGAAAAGGTTTGATTTTTTCAAATTGTTCGTCACCGCCATAGGTTCCCGAAGAATCGCGTGGGTAACTAAAATTATTGGCCACTGGCCTATATACGCAATAGGAAAACGCATAGGTGGATGTGTAGTTCTGTGTAAGTCAATCTAAGGAAATGTCATCTTGAGAAATGTGAAAAAAAGGCTCGGCTCTTCGTGCCACCGCCTCCTGCTATCACGTCTGAACAATCCGAAGTGACATTCGAGAGAATCGAAAAGGCGTTAGGTCCTTCTCTACCCCTTGCACTGCATGTAAATGATCGCTGGCCACGGTAGGGACACTATCTTCGGGAGATCTCAGAAGTGGCCGCAGCTAGAGTATGCTCATTTGCGTTTTGACCATTTAAAAAAGAGGACGAAAGAAGATGATTGAGCGATTTGACGTCACGCTGCAACAGTAGAATTGAAGGTGTTAATTCAGTTGGCAGGCGTAACTTGAAATAACCGGCGGTTATAGAACAGCATTACACCAGACGTAGTTCAAATGGTTTTTTTGCAAAGTCTAAATAACGAACTGGTTTTTCGAGCGCAGTTGAGGATAAGCAAAGGGAAATGGATCCCTCGATGTTCGCGCAAAATCTTCAATGGATGCTTGTTACTTTCGCTCCTTCCACGCTTTATATTAGTAACAGAGGATGAATCACATCCACAAAGAACTATTTGAATGAATGAATTAGTTAAGCAGCTTTACACACAACAGTCTGATTTACAATTGCTGTAAAAGTAAACTTCCTCGATATTTCTCCTTTTCACAGCCTCAGATGCGCATACAACTACAAGTACACTTTGTAGAAGGGTTGCATAATGCAGTCCTTTCATTTAAATAGTTGTATGAAATATGCTTTTGACAGTTCATGCATTAGGCATGAGGGCTTTCCTGTGCTCGGAAACACTTCTAACTTCTGCATTTCCTGAAACACTAGACACTTTCAAGTGTTTCTGAGATTTTCAAACTATGTGTTCTTTATTCTCTCTGAGGCAAGTTAGCGCAGCTGTACATACCTTGTCAAATTGACCTACCATTTCCCATGAAACATAAAAACAGATGTGACTCGGGGCGCAGACTTTGTGAGCAACATTCATTTACTTGCAGATGGTAGACGGATCGGGTGCCATGCGCACATCTCGAAGGTTTTCTTAATCACGGACGTTTTTAAAGTCGATATCTTTCCCCTTTTCGGAAACAGAATCTGCATTAAAGAAGGCACATTTTCTTCAGTATTCTTAAATGACCTGTAATCGACTGGTTAAGTGCGTTACGGGGGAATTTATTTGCCTTTGAGTTCGTGCGTCTACAGGTGTCCATTGTTACGTAATAAACGGCAAAAGGGCATTGTCGACAGAAGCGAACAGGCGAGTTTCATGTAGCAGTTCAGAAGACGAAGATGCGGTCACTGGAACCATAAATTTATTGGCCTGGCGTTTCGGATTCCCTCTCGAACATATCATCGGAAACAGTCGCAAACACCTATCTGTGCTTGTGATTCCAGACATATCAAAATACATTAACAGAGCAAGACTAATCAGTAAAATATAGTTGGTTTTTGATAGCTTTCCTGGTGCTTACTCAGCTAGAATGGCGTCTCTCGCAACAACGTTTCGGAATGAATGATGTGACTATTTTAAAAATGCGTTTGGACGCAAATTCGTTTCCTCTCACAATTTCGCTGATGTAGTAAATGTGATCCGTGTCAAATTAGTTGACACCCCTCTCCCACGTTGCTGCTCGGTTTCGTTTGGCGTAAGCATCGTGAAAAGAAACAGACCTGTGAGAGTTCGGTTTGATACAAATTCTTGCTTAAATAGTCAGGAATACCTGAGTTGTGGAGACAAAAGCCGTATAAATCGTGGTTCATATGACTGGAACAATCGTGGCGTTGATGCTGGTTAAACATAGAGAGAGTCTCCAGCACCTGAAAAAGTCTTAAGTCAACATGACCGGCTGCCACGTAGCCTACCACAGTCCCAATGACCTGCTTTACGAATGTGGCAAAAAACTTCATGGGCAGAATGGAAGAAAACTCATAAGCTACTCAGGTCTGATAAGTTTCCACTTATTGTCTTTCATTTCTTTTACACGTTTAAGGCCAAATTCGCAACTCCAATGATGCAGAATGGAAAAAGGAAGTTACGTCATACTGGCTAGGTTAGTTTGGAATATTGGCGAAAATGCAAAACTGACCTGGTTGATTTCGTTCACTTTCTTTTCAGAATTTGTAAATTAGACTTAATTATGGTAAGCATGAGGTTTGAAAATTTTGCTTGGCCAACGGAATCAGACAGAAGCATGTCCTGCTTTATTAAATTTCCGTGCAAATAAATGCGCAAACTTGGAGTAAATCCTTCGGAACAGACATTTTCAGGCTCGACCCGAAAGTTGATATGGTGAATCTAGCCCCTCGCAGCTGCGTCAGGCAGCGGCATGAGATTGACGAAATGCGCACGGCTGGGCGTTTAGCTAGTACCTGTGCTGTTGGTTTGGTAAATAATTAGATACTATTCGTGTCTGCCAGTCTCATCCAACGCCATCCACCAAAAGGAAGTGGATTTTTTGCGCACCGAGACAAATTTTTGGGGCTAGCGGTCCTAGTCTGCCTTTTTTATGGTCACCGAATAAAGTAGAAAACGTATTTCCAAGAAGAGTTTGAGTAGAAGGAGATGCACTCACTAGAAAAAGAATTTTATTTGTCTATCCATCCGAATCCTCACCCGAATCCATCTTTAGATATAGGCACAGATAGAGATGTTGGGTGTAACACAAGGAGTCTTGAACCTCGTAGATTATTTGGTCGACCGTGAAGTACATTTTGAGACGGGTTTCATGGGCTAGAGTATTTAACCTTCTAGGAGGGCATTCTTCGTTTGGTCATATTTGCTTTGCTGGAACAGTTCAAGTGTCCTGACTGCCAGATCCTGAAAATACCGGACCTAAACATTAACCGCCCAATTAATCACACACGTAGTTTTGTAAGGACGCTATTAGGGCACATTGAGGCAAATGGTAGCGAATCAGAAGATAGGGTTGCCGAATTATAATACCATCGACGGGAGCTCAGATTTTGTTTACCGATACGCGCGCAACCGAGATGGGAGGACAAACCTCACTTGCTCCTGATTTTAACGTTCGCTCTCGTTTGTCATGAAAATCTCGGAAGAAGTTGGCCGCTATCTCATACAAATTGAACTTGGGGTTGCACGCAGATCGGGGGCAACCATCAGATGCCATTTAACGAGGCCACAAGACGTACTGCTGCGGCAGAAAACATCTGGAGTCGTTTAGAGGGGCTGGTTTAATTACAGAAAGAGCATCTACCTCGACGAAACTGCAAGGCTTCTCCTGCTGCGGATGGCGGAGCAGCAGAGAGGGGGAAAGAAACCAGCTCCCGGGTCGTGGCTCATCCGACGTAACCCCGTTATCAAGGTGGGCGAGTCCGCAGTTCTCGCAAGTTGAC